GCGGAGGACTCGGGGGACGAGGAGGAAGCCAGACCCGGAGGAACAAAGGGTACTGTTTTGAGGAGAGAGGAGGCCAGAGAGGTAGGGGGTGCAGAGGAGTGCAGGGACTTGAATACAAGGGTGAGGATCTTGAAATAAATCCTCTCTGGGATAGGCAGCCAGTGCAGTCTGGCAAGGACTGAGGTGATCAGCGAGCAAAGTTTGGTGCGGATGTGAATGTGGGCGGCAGCGTTTTGAATGGTTTGGATTTTATGGATGGTAGTGGATGGGAGACCGGCGAGTAGGGCATAAGAGTAGTCCAGCTGAGAGGTGACAAAGGCATGGACCAGGGTTTCAGCGGCTTTTGGGGAGAGGTATTGGCGGAGATGGGTGATGTGCCGGAGGTGGAAGAAAGCGGTCCTGGTGAGGGACCGGATGTGGGGGAGGAAGGATAATTGGGGGTCGAACCTGATGCCTAGGTTGCGTACGGGTTCAGAGAGTTTTAGTGGGAGGTCGGGTAGGTGGAGGAAGTGAGAGCCGTGAGATTTTAGACATTGACGAGAGCCAAAGAGTATGGCTTCCGTCTTGTCAACGTTCAGCTGAAGGAAGTTTGCGCTCATCCAGCCCCTGAGATCTGACAGGCAGGCTGACAGAACATCAGGGGACTGGGGATCGCAAAGAGAGGTGTAAAAATAGAGTTGGGTGTCGTCCGCATACATGTGGAAATGTACCCCATGTCTGTGGATGACATCCCCAAGAGGGAGCATGTAAATCAGAAAGAGGAGGGGGCCAAGGATGGATCCTTGGGGTATCCCGCAGGTGACCGGGTGAGAGCGGGAGGAGAAGCCGTTTGTGCAGATGTACTGCTAGCGGTTTGTGAGGTAGGACTCGAACCAGGCAAGTGCGGTCCCACTGAGGTGGATGACGGAGGAAAGGCTGTGGGGGAGGATGGCGTGATCGACTGTGTCGAACGCCGCGGAGAGGTCCAGGAGGACAAGAAGGCAGAGGGAGCCCTGGTCACAGATAGAGAGGATGTCGTTCGTGACTTTCACAAGCGCAATCTCTGTACTGTGGGCAGAGCAGAAACCAGATTGGAGGGGTTTGAAGAGGGAGTGGGAGGGAGGTGTGCGTGAAGTTGGTTGGAAACAACGCGTTGTAGAACTTTTGAGAGGAAGGGCAGGTTAGAAATAGGGCGGTAATGGCTTGAGTTTGAGGGATCTAGGGAAGGTTTTTTGAGGAGGGGGGCTGATGACAGCAGTTTTGAGGGGGGCAGGGACTGATTCGGAGGAGAGGGGCTGGTTGATGATGTCAGCCAGTAGTGGGCAGAGGAGGGGGATCTGTGTGACCAGTAAGTTGGTGGGGAGGGGGTCGAGGCAGCAGGTGGTGGGTTTCATGGAGGTAGTCTTATGTCCCTGTAAATCGTATAGTTCATGAAATTACTCAGCATCAAGTTATATATGTGGTGCTTTAACCAGATATTCCAGAATTGTCTCATTGAAGAACTCTTGTTGTGTATTTTGTGAGCTGTTCAATAAGGTACATGACTTTTCCATAAGATACAAACATCAAGTCATGATAAATGGACAATTGTCTTCTTATCAGTCCCTTAGGGATTTAGTTTGACTTCACTTTGCTTCTCCTTTTTTAGCAAAATCTTGGTTGATACCTGAAACAGTCCCTTGAACATAGATAATTAAGTGCAGTTAATCATTACTTCCATTATCAGGGCTATTGGAGGAAGAGCTATGGGAAATCTGCTGTGTCTGCTGGCAGACCAGCAAGGCTGTTTCATTTTTCCAATGAACATATTTCTAGATTGTGAGACAAGTACTTATTACCATTGTCTCCAGATGCCATCTAGCTGTGTTACTGACCATAACCAATACAGAAATATAATTGCATCACATTTTCAGCTGGTATTTAGGGAAGGAACATACCGACAGTGTTAAAGAGGATTGGAAGCCTGAGTTCCACAAAAGGATTTTTTTTGCATTCCAGAAGTACATTAGAACACATGGTTGGATTTAGGTGCAATTGAGTAAAGGACTCCCATAGATTACAAATGGTGTCATTTAAAGAAATGACAAGTGTACCCCTTGACCTTTCTCGGCTGACATTGGAAAAACAGTAAAAATCTAGAGATGAGTTTGAATTACTGTATGTGAATCTGTTCCTGTGTCAGTAATAGATTATTTACCAGGATTCTATCCACTGACAAATTTGCAATTATTAGCACCTTTGGTGACCTTTCCTCTCACTTGTTCAACATTCAACACGGTCTTTGTGAAGACACCAAAATGTTATCCTACTTGACTGGTGCTATATAAATGCAAGTTGTTACTGATGGCACAGGAATATCCAGACAATAGTTTAACTTTCTGCTCAATCTTCATGACACCTTCCTATGGCCCAATTTAGAGTTAACTGCCAATTAGATTATCCCCAAGGATTTCCATTGCCCAATTATATCTTAGGTTCTTCATCAGATAACACTGAAGATACTGGAACCATGAACAGATTGTTCAGTGCCTTTCTATGCTAGGGAAACAGTAGGGATGTGTGACTTGCTATTAATCTTTATGTAATCTGATTTTTTTAAGAAAAAACATAAATTCACTGATAATTCATTGATATCTTGTTTAGTGTTCGTCTTGAAGACCAAATAGGCTATAAAATAATTTGTGCAGCAACTAAAATAAATTAGATCCAATAAAATAAATCCAGAGAACAAAATAATGCTTTATAAATATCCACGTCAACTTCATGCCTATGTTTAATCACCAGTGTTCCTTGGCAATAAATCACCTCTCATTCTGAGGAAGGCTTCAGTGTCGTCTCCTGTCTTGCATACACACACACACATCTCTCCCCAACCCCAAACACACACACGCACACACACACCAAGCATATCACAGGCTCTCAACCAGAATGAAATGAAACACCTACTTAAGGTAATCCACACTCAAATTTATGGAAAAAACATCAATCAGCAATGTAGCAAAACTGACTTAATTGCCATGAAGCACTTGATTGGATCTAACTGTCCCACGACATCCCCCTGCTTGGCTATTGCGCTTATCATCTGGAATAGAGTAATTTGAGAACCACTTATCTTCAGTCACGGATTCTAATCCTTTAATCGCTGCTCCGGGGAATCTTACGATTTTCTCCAATAAAAACACCAGGATAAACAAATGGAGGTGTCGAGAAATAACACAATCAGCGCACACGAGGATCATTGCTATGCCTCGCAATCAGATTAGATAGCATTGGAGCGGTCTTCTCTCCTCCAAAGGATGTTGCTGTGAAGGATTTGGGTCCTCAATGTTGCCCAGTGACAGTATCTGACCAGTCACGCCTGCTGCTATCAGACAGGACAGGAGCGATGATCATTCACTATGAAAACCCATGACTTCGACAGCGATGAGTCCTTCACTGTTAAAAATTGGCATAGTTCTTAGCACTATGGCAATGATCTCCAACTGGATGTCCCAAACTCTGCCAAGCCTGGTAGGTATAAACACCACCCAATCCTCCAGCATGGGAGGCAGCACACCAGATAGACTGGTAAGTATAACATGCTCATCTCCTTAACTAGTTAAATGCCTTTCAATCTCTTAGAAGACAAAATTAGTTGACGTCCAGTACACGATCCACCTGACAAGTAACTATCTTTTTCAGGCGTTTGATTAAACGAGGTTTGCAATACTTCTTAGTCAAGCTCCTAAATTTTTAATTGAACAAGTGTCGTCCTGCAGACTTTCTTGGAGTTATTAGTTTGGAGAAAAAATCCTTCTGTCGGATTTGCATTTCATTTGAATGGAGTGAGTTTGTATTTGTCCTTGTGTCAGTGTGTTAGCTTTTTCAATTTCACTCGTCGAGAATATCGCGTAAAGCAATTATTTCTAGGGACCTTGTGAATATTTGATTTTGACTGCTGGAAACATGTTATTTCTTGCTTTACCCTCCAGGTAGATTTTCATTACTGGTGATAGAATGTAACTATCCAGGGTGCTGAATGTTAGAAGAAAATGCATAAATATTTCTGCAAATGATCTGCATGTTTGTGCAAATATTTAAAATAAATGTAAGTTTGTCCTATATATATATATACATGAGAAACTTTTCATAGGAAGGACTGTTAAGTTGTATTGTGAACAATCTTAGTTGAAATAATATCAGCATCAATGTCAACCCTTTATATGTGTCACACTGCTGGTTCTCTATAGCCTTGTCAACACCGCAAATATCATCTTTTGTACAGAAGCTAAAATACTTGTTATTCGGTCGTTGTTGAACCAGCCATGCTGGAGAATGCAACAGGCCACATCTGCGATTTAATAATAATCCTAAATTGTGATATAACACCTTCGTGTCAGGGGGATGTTTCAAAGCACTTCACAGAATATACTGTAAAGTGTAGTGGCCTTTGTTGTAGGCAAATACAGCAACCAACTTGCACCCAGCAAGGTCACATAAGGAGCCGTAAAGTAAATTACCAATGTTGTTGGGGCTGGGATGGGGGGGGGATGGGGATTGTTGGCTAGGACACCAGGAGAAGCTCCCTTCTCTTTTCAAACATCCATGGGATCTTGAATGATCAGGCAGATGGGTCCTTGGTTTAATATTTCATCTGAAGGATAGCACTTTGAGTGATGCAATGCTCCCAGCACTGCATTGGAGTGTCAGCCTAGACTCGGGCATAGTGGGTCTTTAACATATAATCTTCTGACCCAGAAGTGACTGTTACCCAGAAGTATGATACCAACATACACCAAGAAGACTGGACAAACAGCCATGAGATGAATGAACAACTAATTTGGAGCATTGGATATCAGCAAAAGCTTGTGTGTTTATTTAGGGGAGGTGGGTTTTTTCTGCCAAATGGGAATTTCAACTATGCTGATAGTTAGAAACAAAAGGTTAATGCATACATCGTAATTATTAATACAAGATAATTGATTTTGATTAGTGATTTAAAGAAATCACTTTTTACAATGCATCTCTTTGGATTTCTATAGACCATTAGTCCGAAAGAAGGCTGGCAAGTTTACAGCTCAGCTCAGGATCCAGATGGTAGATGCATTTGTACGGTGGTGGCACCTGAACAAAACCTGTGTTCAAAAGATGCACGAAGTAGACAACTTCGACAGTTACTTGAAAAGGTATTTTTATGTTATAAAAGCATGATTTTCAGTATATATCAATACTGTTAGAGCTGAATCAAAGAAAGGAGGAAAAAAACAAGTGGATTTCAGAATCCATACAGCATTTCATAATAACATTTACTTGTAATTAAGATAATTCATATTAATAAATTGATGAAATGTAATCAAATGATTTTAAAAAATGCATTGGCAACAGATTCAGGCAGGACATAAATAATGCTGTTCCATTAAGTTCGTTTTAATATCCATTTTCTAAGTTGGACCATATAATTTTAGTGATTGTAATTTCTAGTGTTGATCAAATTGCATGTTATCCCAGTAAATTAATTTCTATTGATCACAGTTCATATTTTATATGAAAAATGGCTATACTGAACCAAAAGATTCTTTTGTGTTTTCCCAGATTCTTGCTTATGTTTTAAGGAAATAATCTATTGTAGCTTTTTTTTGTAAAAAGGTTCAGAATATGTCTCAGTCCATTGAAGTGTTGAATCTGCGAACCCAGAGAGATTTTCAGTATGTATTGAAAATGGAAACACAAATGAAAGGACTGAAGGCTAAGTTTCGGCAAATTGAAGATGATCGGAAAACACTCCTAACTAAACATTTTCAAGTAGGTCTGTTTAGCCTGCTTTGGGTAACTTGACATTAGCAAAAAAAGTAAAAATAAATTTATCAGGAATTGCAAAATATTATTTTTGAAAAAAGTGTTGCATAGTCTTGAAAATCTATTGAAAAACAAGTTTGGTTTACATTGGCACATATCATGTTCCTTCTTATATAAGGATTTGTTTAATATTTGCAGCAGTCTCTGATTAAATTTATGTTAAATAGTCAGTAACAATAACAAGGTCATTTTTACCTTTCACAGCAGTCCACACTTCTCGTACTTAGATTTAAAATTTGGCTTAAAAAAAACTTCTGCATTCAACATGATAATAACATGTATCTGGAACAAATATATAATACGTGGAAGTGATCTAATGGTCTAATTGCAACAATAATCTTTAAGGTTGATAGTCTATTAGGCTAGCATCAGGGGTATGATTAACATACAACTGAGATAAAATACCATCTGGGTCTAGATTTAATCGAGACATATAGGATTTTAGAACATCTAGAATTTGGCAGATTGTTGAATTTAGTCTCAACTCCAAAATCGTTTATCTGCAGTTCTTAAAATAATTGAAAACTGGCTTCAAAATTAAGGATGTATTTGTCAAATTTGGAATGTGCTGAAATGCTATGTTAATAGAGCAAGTCTAGCTCCAAGTGGAATTTCTATCTCAATGTCATGCCCTGATCATAGCTACCATATTTAGAATGCCGAAGATTAAAATACATGCAAATGAAGTTAATTTAATGCTTAAACCTGATACTCTATTAAATTGAGATTCACAAAGTACACATGACAATAATTATGTATTAAAATCATCATTTAAAATTCAGACAAAGACGCTGATATAAAATGTTCAATACATGTTGAAAGAAATTAAAATACAATTGAGATTGAAAATGTTAATGATAATGAAAATTCTCTTTGAAACTTTTTTTTTCAGTTGTAATTAAATTATAACTATCATAGATTTGAATTTTGCTTTGCTTGCCACAATATATTTGCACATTGTCTTGGAAGACAGTGAGCGGGCTAGGAGATTGACAGACCTCAAACAAACCATCCAGTATTTTGAAAGACAGTGCCCATATGTATCTATCAATGCTTCAGAACTTTCAGATCAATGAATAATGTCTTTTGCAAACCAATTATTAAAGTAAGGCACCATCACACCTGCGTTTTCATGAGACTACAAATGCTGCAATTTTAGAAGCAGTTATTGGACATGAATCAAGGTCCTAATAATTTGTTTTTGAACAACCATAAACTAGTTTAGCTCAAATGACAGCCTTTCTTCAAATGGCTTTCATCTTAATCTAAACCCACATCAATTTAAATGCAAATGGAAGAATTGTTATATTATTAAATCTTTGTAGAAGTAATCTGAAGTCTTGTGTGTGGATTTTTCAGGAGCTGAAAGAAAAAATGGATGAACTTTTACCACTTATCCCAGTTCTGGAGCAGTATAAAACAGATGCTAAGTTAATCATACAGTTTAAAGAAGAAGTCAGAAATCTATCAGCGGTTCTTACTGGAATTCAGGAAGAAATTGGAGCTTATGACTATGAGGAACTTCAACAGAGAGTTCTAAATCTAGAGACCAGACTGCACGACTGCATGAAAAAACTATGTAAGTTCACAATTATTGAAGTCATTCATTTGAACCATTTGTTCAATTCTGAGATATTTCTTAGCCATATTTAATAGTTACATTTAATGAGTGATATTGCAAGTACAACCAATAATTTACACCTGCTTTTAATGACTGTATTAAGATCTGCCTTGTACAATATGAATTAAACTAAATTCATATTCTACAAAAAAAACTCTAATAAGATAACATTTATTTATACAATCATAATATTTTTGAATGATTTCAGCATGTGGAAAGTTAATGAAGATCAGTGTTCCAGTCACAGTCAAAACTTCAGGAACCAGATTTGGAGCATGGATGACAGACCCTATTGCAACAGAAAGAGATAATAAGGTATATGTGATGAGATTGTGATGATGTTTTATTCCAGAGTAATGTTGCTACATGCACACTTGTTTTCAAAATACTACTGATTTCACCTGAAGATCTAGATATATTTTCTTTTCAAAAAATTCAAATAACTAATGTATTAATAGATCTGCAGGGTACACATAGTTAAACCTTGCAACATTTGGATTATCCAACACTGACTATTATTAGAGACTACAGATATAGCAATCAAAAGATTCTTATTTTAAAGGATTATTTCACAATGATAATTCCCACATTATTCATTGACACCTCTGTCATTCACATTATGGGTTTTGAACGCATGCTCATCCTCGCCAGTAGAGTAATTATTTCTCTGTGAAGCTTTTGATATATTTATATTTAATGATTGAATGGTTACTCAAGTTGTATATTTATCTTTAAAGGTCTGGTACATGGATGGTTACACAAGCAGCAAAGTTGTGCGTGAGTACAAATCTATGAAAGACTTTATAAGTGGAGAGGATTACAGATTGTATCGGCTGCCTTATCCATGGGCTGGAACTAACCATGTTGTCTACAATGGCTCTCTCTATTTTAACAAATATCAGAGCAACATCATCATCAAATACAATTTTGACACCGGGTCTGTTGTAGCTCAGCGAAGCTTAGAATATGCCGGCTTCAATAACATTTATCCATATACCTGGGGTGGATTCTCAGACATCGACTTAATGGCAGATGAAAATGGACTGTGGGCAGTGTATGCTACCAATCAGAATGCTGGCAACATTGTAATCAGTAAGATGGACGCACAGACATTAGAGGTACTGAAAAGCTGGAACACTGGATATCCTAAACGCAGTGCTGGAGAATCCTTCATGATCTGCGGAACCCTGTACGTTACAAACTCCCATTTAACTGGTGCCAAGGTCTACTTTGCCTACTCTACAAAGACATCAGCCTACGAATACACAGACATTCCGTTCCATAATCAATACTTTCATATATCAATGCTCGATTACAACGCAAGAGACAGAATGCTGTACGCGTGGAACAATGGCCACCAAGTGCTGTTTAATGTGACATTGTTTCATGTCATTAAGACTGAGGACGAGCTATAAGCCCCGAGATTTCTTGCTGTGGAGTAGTAACTATGAATCACTTGTTAATGGTTCAGATACAATGCTGTTTCTATTCAGTGTGAACGTTCTTGCTAAAGTTCTCAGAGAAGATGTTTTTAACATTATTCTTTAAATACATCTGAGTCCATAGTAAAATTAACATGCCTATAATTGAAATCTTTATACTCTAGACTCGTGTTTAAATGTAACATGAAGTGATAAACTCTTTCAACATCGCCAAACTGCAGAGATGAAAACAGTCAATTTGCCTTATTCTATACCAGAAGCATCTGGTAGCTTAGCTGCATGAATGTCTGTGATCTTTGGTTTTGTCCTTAAAAAGGTAAAAAGGCTTTCTTATATATAAATCAACTTTTGTATAACTTTACAAACACAGTAAGGTGTGTTTTGTGGTAATTAGCTCTGTGATAATAAATTGCATTTAGATCTAGTGTATTCTTTATTCGTTCTGGTGCTACCATTTTTATTTGATTGGACTTAATGGAATCTATACATTTCACATTGTCTGAATCTGTCAGTGTGTTTAAAGGCATTGTGCATTCAACTTTATCTTGCTTTTTTTACATCAATGTAAATGACCATTACAATACCCATTGTGTAAATGAATTTCTTCTCTTGTTCTCTGAGACTTATTTCAGTTTTTTTTTACAAATTTGTATTAGTATTCATTGACATCTGTCTTAATGTCTATGAGTATGGGGGAAAAGAAACAATATATTCATTACTGTGTTTAGATTCCGAGTGCAAGTTCTTGGCAATGATACCGCAACTTACGAGGAGTTTGAGAAATATATGAATTCTACAAACTTCTATTATCCATACTTTACACTATTTTATTCTTACTCTGACACAAAATTCAATAATGCATGCGAGACTTCAATGAGCTTGGTATGGATCTCATTACAATATTATAGTATCAAATTGCTTCTATTAGTGAATGGCTTAATTTTACAATACATTTTTTTTTAGTTGACACTAATATATTCTTGAGGTAATGTTCAGTAAAGTAGTTGGTGCTCCTGTGAAAATAAGTATTTATCCATCGATTGTGAGGTGCAATACATTTGAAACTCTATAGGACATTTTGAGTTCAAAGATTCCACAATGTTTGTGTATTCTATTCCAACAGGTGGAAGGCTTGGGCTGAAAAGCCTTTTCTTGCCCCATACTCATGGTGTGGAATATCTGGCATTAAATATCCCTGAGTGACTTTCCACTCTGCATTTTCCAATGGGTTTCAGACACTAGAGCGCTGTCCACCCCAAACTGCACCAGCCTTTGTGGTTTCAAATCAACAAATTGGAGAATCTTAAGTCATGCAGCAAATGAACTATTCTACATTATAGTATGGTGTTCACAATGATAATGATGATACTAATAGCTTGTCATTTTCAGTGACACAGCTGTAAAGTAAAAACATGCTACTTGTATTACTGACCCATCCTATTATGTGATGCGGTAAGCCTGATTGTATCACTTGACTTAACCACCACCACCTCGTAAGATTTTGTGGGCATTCAAACCAAACTGTTTTTTTTTGGTCAGCCAGGTGTCCGACACATGCAGAAACCCATCTCCATGCTTAAGCGTATCCAAACCAAGCTGAGATTTCCATGCACCCCACCTACACATGGAAATCCTAGAGATAGATTGTTGGAATGGAATGCGCACTCTCTCCTGATCTGCTTACCTAATTCCGGAAAGCATTAGGCGCAGGTTGGCAACAGCCAAGGTACCAGCAAATTTTCAACAGATCTTTGGATGGCTACTTGTGAATATGAAAGTGATGAATCATTTATTAAGAAAGAGGCTGCTGATAAGTAATTTACAACAAAGTCGTTCTATCAATTAAACTTCAATTTACGAATCTAGCTCTTTGAAAAAATATGTACATTTTGCTCTTCCAGCTCAACACCTGTTGAAATATTAAAACATTAACATTTAAATTAAACGTTTACATGAATGTCACAAATCCTAGATGATTCACGTTATTCTTTTTCCATTGTGATCTGAATGCTATTTCAGGATTGTTCAATTTAAAAGCAGAATACCAGATAAAGGAAGTAATGTAACCTCAAGTTTGAAATAACACAATTAACTATGATAATGGACCTCGAGTCATTTACATCTGAACTCTATGATTACATTAATACCTTCAATTTATTCACCAGTATCTATTAATATTTATTGTGTCTAGTTGTTCAATTTTATGCAGTTATTTTAGTATGTTGCTATGCTGATTGTGTAGACACTATTAGTCTCCTCTGCAATTGTTGATGAGTGATAGTAGTCAAACAAAAAATACAAGATATTATTTCAGGGACATCAATAAATGGCATAGAAATAATTATTGGGAAAGGGTTCAATTTACACAATAATAATTTTTAATTATTTAAGAGTTCATAGAAAAATGACGGTACCAAATTCTTTTGTTTCCTAATTTCAGATTGCACCTCCCCCCCCCCCCCCAGCATTGCAAAGCCGAAATATCTCCAAAACTGCAGAGCTTCATAGGTAAATGTGATTATCGTGATTATCTGCCTTAAATTTCTGCATTGATGTTGACATTCAGAAGCGTTGCAAAGATTAATTGTCAAATGTCTTCACAGTGCAAATGTTTCTTATGCTCTTAAAATATAAAAGATTTAAAAACTGCTCACTGTGTTTCTAATCTTAAGTCAAGAAGACGTGAAAAGCGCTATATTAAATGCAAGGATTATTATTATAGCATGACATGGTACCCCTCACTTTTCCTCTACCAACAACAAAAAAAGTACTGCTACTAAGCTGTGTCTTTCTCCCTATCCTGGATAATCGCTAACCTGGAGGGCAAGATAATCCTGAACCAGAGATTTCACCAGATCAGTTTGGATAATGAAGCCCTTTGGTCTAAGTGATCTCATCCTTTGCTTTTTGCTTTGCCAGTCTGGTGATGCATCTCAACCACAGCTAAGAGATGAAGGTTAGTTTTCTCCCCCGCCATAGTATATAATGCTTGCTCACTTCAAACAAAATCTAATAAACATTTCAAGATGAACAAGCGCAGTCACAAGCCTTGACAACCTGCAACTCAAAATCACGACCTTCAAATTAAGAGTCAAGCTCACATCAAGCTGAGTGCCAAGATGCAATTTAAACTCATCTTTTTGTTTCCTGTATTTATTTTTTTACTATTTCCATATCTACCTTTCTTTTTCTAACAAACAAACTGTGTACACGTGGTGCACAAGGACTTCATATTAAAACCAGAAAGCAAGAGTACTGATGTATCGTCAAAAAGTACTGTTGTGCAAAAGCTTTAAATGGATCCTCTTGATTATGTAAAAATCACTCATGTTAGCAAATTGTTTTAGAGCTAACAATGATTTCCTTTCAAGGTCCAGCTTTCCTACTGTCATATTAAGCAACTATTTACAGAAAACAAAGAGCCTTCCAAATCAGCTGCCTTTCATTTAATTGGAATTTTCTCCTCAAGGAAATAAGTTACTTTACTTAACTGAGTTATTTTATTTTCCCCTCCAAAAAATATTTATATCATTGTTAGTCTTTTTTTCAAGCCCCAGTTGATGAAGTAGGATTATCAAGTACCTACCTTCTCATAGACTGCCAGTCGCTCTATCTGCATTCCCTCTGCTTCATGTTGCTGCAGACTTTGTAACACAGACATTTTGCCAAACACCTACTCTTTCTGTTTCAGAGACTTTGGTGACAGCTAAATGTCAGATTTCTATAACTCTAGTTGAAACAGAAAACAGAAGAAAGGAAGGGGTGGGAAGTGTAATTCAATTAAGGAATGGAGATAAAACAAACTTAAACCTCAAGCAGTTTGGACAATTTTTCTGAATGGGAATAATATTGTGCACTTCAGAACACTTTTTTTAAAAATACTGCACATATGCATTTAATGCTTATTTTGTGACAGCTTGTCATAAAGAAACATTGGAATTGTTCTGGATACTGACAGGGAATGATTCTGATAGGTTTCATCTCTCGAATGGCTTCAAAGCCAGAGAAACTCACCCATTGACAGCACTTGGCAAAAGCTCTGATTTAACCATGAAAGCACCTTGGTGCAATATCCAATGTATCTCTAAAACAACTAATTGGCCAATTATACTTCCATTCTGCACACAGTCTATCTGTCATGATCTGGACTGCTGACAGAGGGATGGTTTCCCTCAGCAGGATTATTGTTAATCCACAGTGGGTTGAAATGTCTGTAATACATTCAACAGCTCTTGTAGGTTGCACCTTGAATGCAAAGGCAATGGAATAGGTCATGCAGCATACTTAACCATCTATTTTTCCATAGTGCTGACTGAATTGGAAAAACCTATCTAATGCTACTGTCCAGGACACCTCTAAATTTGGAAAGCCAGAAATAAAAACTAGTTTAAAGAGGTCATGTGCTTCAGTTTAGAATACATTGTGGCAGAATTCCTGATACACTTCTGCCAAATAAAAATATTTAATTTTTAAAATTGTATTTGGCTTATGAAAATAATCAGGTCAACATCATTGATTAATGTATCTAAGAATAATAATAGTAGTAGATAATAATAATAATAATAATACATTTGCTATAGCGTCTTTTACTTCAGGAGGATGTCCTAAAGTGCTTCACAAGATACACTGCAGTGCAGTGACTGTGTTTTGTGGGCAAACACGGCAGCCAATTTTTCACAGCAATTTCCCACAAACAGCCATGGAGTGAGTGAGCAATTTTATTTGGGTGATCATTGACCAGGACACCTGGAGAAACTCCCTTTTCCTTTCAAATAGTGCCATGGGATCTTTAATGTCCACCTGAACAGGCCATTGGGGCCTCAACTTAATATTTCATGCAAAGCACAGCACAGCCAATAATGTAGCACTGCATTGGAGTTTCAGTGCTGTCTATATGAATTGCACATCCTGACTTGGGGCTTGAACCACAACCTTCTGTCTCAGAGGCGAGAGTGCTACCATTTCTACCTACGATTCAAGGACTTCACTGTTGTATTCTCAAACCTTTTGAATGCCAAGAGAGACATGCTACTCATTAGCTGCTTCAAAAACATGTAAGCTCATTATTTCTAGAGTGTTGTCATTGGTTTCTACTTAACCCATACCTCACCCTCAACACTGAGGAATAACAATCACTCATACAAATTTTGTTAACATTTTATTAATATTGCCCAAAACATACTTTTCCATTTATAGTGAAATATCCTCTTGAATATCAAATTGATAAGATAAAAATAAATCAAATTAAGATTATAATTGAGCTTTAAATCAACATTCATATGTTTAATACTGAACGAGACCAATTTAATCAAATCTGAATTTGAATTCAATGTCAATGCTCTTTAATTTTTCCTATGAACTGCACACTGATCTAATTTACATTCCCTCCCTGGACTCCACCAAGGAATCCCAATTGTAACTTTCCATTGCAAATCACGCTATTAAGCACACCACTGTTAATTTTCAGCAAGCGATGTCAAACTGTTGATGACAAGATACCAGAGTATCTCCAGATGACTGGCAATTAACTGAGTTTTGTACTGAATATTTACACAAGAAAATGAGAAAGGAAAAGGGGCAATGAATTCAAAAATAGATAAGAAAAACACACATATC